TGATTTAATGAAGTCATCCACAATTGTTTTCCGTTGTCTTCAACAGAACAGAGGAAAGGCTTATGGGTATGAAGGCTTTCGGAGTCGTTTTATCCCTTTTTACAACTTTTGGAATGAAGACAACTCAAACCTTTCTCCATGTTTTTGGTATACTCGATACGGTTCCGCAATAATTGCAACGTCGCACTTTGCTTCCGTTGTCGACTACCAAAACCTTCGTTCCTGTTGTGACAAAACAATTAAGTTTAATTTGGAGCGAAATGCTTGAGAATTCATGCTTAAAAACCAAAAAGTTGAGTCAAATCTGCAGGCTGACAATATCGGGGGTAAAAAAAAATCGAGGATAGATAAAATCGGGAGCTGACATAATCTGAAAAGCACTGTATTACTTATTTTCAAGATCCCAGATCCAACAAAAAAAAAAAAAAAAAACGTAAATGTTGAACTAAGGTAAACATTTTGGGTTTTGAAATATTGAAGAATTGTCTGAACAATTTTGATGTGAATGCCAAATGAGTATCGAGGAGAATTGAAGTCCTCTACAATACACTCTCTTTAGGACTTCTGAGGACAATTGTAAAGGAACTTGACTTAACATTAATTTTCAGGTAGTTCTGAAGATACTACTATCGGGATTATTAGTAGAGTTCCAGGAAATTCTAAAGCAACTCTGAAGGCACTTCAACAAACTTAATGACTAAGTATATGGATACAATTTTGACACTACTCTTAATGATCACCAACGGCTGAAAATCTCTTAAAAGTTAATCAATCAGAGAATTCTGAGCGAGAGCTCTTAACCAAATAACGTTTCAAAAAATTAATCAAGGAGCTCAGCTAGCTTGATGGCTGCCACTTTTGCTTACTGAATAGAAGATGGTCTGTTTAAGATGTGTTGATCGGAAATCCATATCAAATCCTTCTCTAGAGCAGCTATTGTCGTCGTCTGTGAGGTCGCCGCCGGGACCGAAATCTAGTAAAAGCAAGTTGAACGGGAACTTGAGCTCGGTGGCCTAGTGGCGACAGATTTTGCTTATTGAGCAGAACATTATGGGTTCAATTTCAAGCTCCTTCCCATTATAGAGTTTTAATGTGAATCTGAATTATTCTTAAAATGATATAAAGCGTATTGAAATTCGGTTGAAGGAACAAGTACGTAAAAGAAATAATATTCGGGTTTTAGGAAAGTCGTGTTGATCCGAAATCTATAATCCTTTAAATTTGTCGAACCTCTTAACGGAATCCCTTTATGAAGAGCTTTGAGTGGGTTGGTTTATTTCCTTTAAATTCCGTTATAATTGCTTATCTTCTGACAGATACGCGTATTTCGTCTACTACTTGCAGACTTCATCAGTGCCAAGTACCAAGTGGTGTTGAGTACTTGGCACTGATGAAGTCTGCAAGTAGTAGACGAAATACGCGTATCTGTCAGAAGATAATCAATTATAACGGAATTTAAAGGAAATAAACCAACCCACTCAAAGCGAAATCTATAGCAAATCCTTCTCAAGAGAAGCTTTTATCGTAGTGACAGCCAGTTGAGTAAGAACTTAGTCGTAATTATTTTGTGGAATAAGAAGCTCGGTGGCCTTGTGGCGACCGATTTCGCATGCTGAGCAGGAAATTATGGGTTCAATTGCAAGCTCCTTCACATTATAGAGTTATACTTTAAATCGGCTTTCTTTCATAATATGATGTAAAGCGTAAAGAAATTCGGTTAGAGGGCCGGGTTAGTAAAAGAAGTCATTTGCGTTTTAGGAAAGATGTGTTGATCGGAAATCCATATCAAATCCTTCTCCTTTTCAAGAGCAGTTGTTGCCGTCGTCGTTGGAGACGTCGCCACCGGGACAACAACAAGTTGAACGGAAACTTGATCGTAATTGTTCTGTGAAATAAGGAGCTCGGTGGCCTTGTAGCGACCGATTTTGCTTACTGAGCAGAAGACCGTGAGTTCAATCCCACACTCCTTCGCGCTATTGAATCGGTAGAACATCAATTCAGCACATAGTTTACCAAAACGAATCCTGCTGCAATCCCAACCCACTAAAGCGAGTATTACGACAACATATTGCTACCCATTCCTTTCTTGATCAGCATTCAGACGTGGCCGGCGCTGATATTGCCTAGTTTTAGATCACCAGTATTTGCACATTGAGGATGAATGCAAGTCCCAAGCAACGTCTATAGGTTCTCTCTGTAATTACAGCTGATCTGGCAATAACGGAGTTGCATTCAATCATGCTCATGCTCATGATCAGAGAATTCTGAAGGAGAGCTCCAATTGAATGTCGATAAAAATTCCAAAAGAACTTAATTCTAAATATAAATAGATAAAATCTTTGTAGAATTGACCACATTGTCAAGCAGTTTTGGCGTGACTTTCTACCAGCGATTTCACAAAACTGGACCAACTAATTTCTATTTTTTCATGAAACGCACAAATGTTGGCTACTTTTCTCGAGGTCCTAGAAGAAAAAATCTCAAAATAATGTTTTATTTCAAAGTTCGAGTGGTAGTAAACGTCATTTTAACAGCTCGAATGAAGTAGTTAATTCTAAGCTAGTTTAAAGGTAGTGTCAAGGAATTTTCCCTAGCGAAAATTTTGAACATTATTTCCAAAAAACGGAGTTGTGTTCAGGGAGATTCTAAAAAAAATCAAATTCTAAGGATAATTTCATGAAAATTCCAATAAATTTCCAAGAGTTTCTCTCGAAGCTATTCTGAGGAAAATGTCCATGCAATTCCGAGCTAACATTCTAGCAAGAATACTTTCTAAATTTTACCAAAAGGTATACCAGAAGATTTCTAAGGAATATTTCAAGAGAATTTTAAGAAAAACTATGCAGATAAATTTTATTGCAATTTCTTGCGAGAATTACAAAGAATACGAAGATAAATGGAGAGTAAATTTCAGGAGTATTCTGAAGGGAGCTTCCAAAGTGCTCTGCAGAGAATTTCGAATCAGTTATGAATAAACATTCTACGCAATACCGTAAAGAATTTTAAAATTATTTAGGGGAATCCTGACAAGGCACAAATGACTTTAAATGTATTAAAGTATTTAAAATAAAATAAAACTTTGAAGACATTTTGAAATTATCATAACGTAATCATTAAGAAATTTTAAAGGGAATCCTGAGATAGTTCCATAGAAATAATTTAGTTAGATCTCTAAAAAAGGCAACAATTCGGCTTTATACCCCGGACAGGCTATGACTTATATCATGTAATATAGGCTGTCTTGCAATGAGCACTCATACATCTACTTTTCACTGGAAATCCTATGTATGAGTGCTCATTGCAAGACAGCCTATATTACATGATATAAGTCATAGCCTGTCCGGGGTATTACCATAGAGGTTAACTCTAAGACAAGTAGGTCCCGAAGAAACGTGCTCAACTTTTTGGCTCAGCTCTGGTACTATCTTCGGTCCCAAGCTAGCCGAATCACCCCTCGAAACATAGGAAAATCCAATAACCCTTCATTTTATCTGTCAAACTTTCATAGCGAATCAAAACAAACATTGTGTAGTACTAGAATTCTGACTAGAATGGGGTACGTTAATCGATTTGCTTGAGACCAATAGGCTAGTCAAGTAGTGAGCCAATTTTAAATCGTTAGTTTCGTATTGATTGTTGGTATTACGATTACGTTCGAAAGTTTTCAGCCCAAAATATTTTTTTTTCGCTGTTGGCAGCCCTGCAACCAGACAGATGCAGGCGATATTTTTTCGCTTGCGGGACAGCGGTTGTCAGCACTGAACCATCGGAGTGTTTTGAGTTCTCCATTAAAATATCTGAAATCTAACATAGGATTTTTTTTTCGAAATTCGCAGAATTACCAAAAACCGGACCTGAGTATTGAGTGACTCTGAATTTGACAAATGCATCCATTACTCAAAAGCGAGTAACTTGGGTTTACTTATTTTAGAGTAGTTCCACCTTTACCGAATGAGTAGATTTCTACTCATTTTAAGAGTAAAAATGAATGAGCGTGTAGGCTACTTTTGTTTTGTTTTATATGTACACAACTACTATCAGAATTTTTTTATTGATTTGACACTGCCTATAATCCCATATCAATCCCGTATGAAAAAACGTAGGCATTGAGAAAATGGTAGTCGAAGTTACGAAGTGCGATTCCCATGTAAATATTTGAAAAATCATCGTAAATTTATCAATATTTTTTTCAAGTTAAAATCAGTGGCATTGATGCTTGCTTTTCATGATTATTTTTCATGATTAGAGATCGTAGTTTTATCACATTATATTAAAGAAGATGCCAATGATAGGGGATAGCGTTGTTATCTCAAAATTGACGAAAGTCCATATGGGACCGATATACGATTATAGGCAGTGCAGGAGCGAATGAAGAACCTGCGAAGGAGCAAAAGAAGCCGGATGCCCTTTCTTGTCTTGTCTTAGCTACAAACCACTTCGAACATTTCATTAGGGCTAAAATGCTTTCGAAAACAATGACATCAATCGCCGATTTCTCGCAAATAAAAGCTCACTCCTGCAAACTAAAAATGCCAGCTGATAGATGAAACATTCATCTACCTGAGGATGCCATTCATTTGCATGTGTGATCTTTTATTCGCAAGAAATCGACTGCTAAGGCCATTGTTTACAAAAGCAGTTTCGCCCTTTTGAAATGTTGGCACTAAAACACTCGTGCCAAACTGCTCGATTTCGGATGCATTTTTCTTGTGCAAGTGCGATTTTCTTGACAGTTCTGCGTTGTGTTTGTGTTGTGCAACCAACCTAAACAGCCCTATCATCAACACCAACACACACACACACACACACACACACATGACTGGGAAGCCATCATTGCGGAAAATCGAGCAGTTGCTCAATTTTACACCAATTTTTCCATCTTGATCGATTTTCTTCTCTTTCTTGCTCTCCCACCTCGCACTTTTGCTCGGAAAAATGAGTTTTGCCTAATTTGATTGCAACCTACAATATCCCTGAAAGAGCCCCAAAATTAAACATACCTTGATGACTCAGGTTCTCCTTCGCCCGGCGGCACCAGCTCAACGGAAACAAAATCCTCTGCACTTCTTCTTACGGTTTATTTTAGTTTTCAACTCCTCTCACTCACTAAAATGGACCACCACTCGCTCGGTCTCTTCTCGGCTCAACCCTGATCCCGTTATGTTTCTTCCTGTGTGTCTCACTTCGTTGCTCCAAAGAGGGCCTCACAAAAACCACCATCAGCCGAGAGAAAGAAAATCATTACATTTCCATTTTTCCTCCGGCAGCTAATCGATTAAAATATTCGCACTAGTTCACCCGATTCCAAATCCGGTGTCGATTTTCTTCTTCACGAAGACACAGTCGAACTTTATTCTTTCTCCAGAGATGTGGGAAGAAAACTAAAACCACCACTAACCGACAAACAATCGCGGAACAACCCGACGTGAACTCTGGCTGTTTCACTTCTGGCTGACTCGATTTTAGTTGCTTTGCTGCTGCTGGCTGATGGATCACCACGACACGGCACGGGCACAACGCACAGAGATCCAACGATACAATGATGGAAATATGGAAGAAAAAAGGGGAGCTTTTTTCTTTGGAGTTTGCACACGCACACACACACACACACATCCACCATCAACTGAGGATTTTGTGTTGGGAGCGCGGGTGAGCAACGTTTGAGTGTAGGCGTGGTTGAGGGTGATACTGAAAACTTCGACGACCGGCGAACAAAAACTGCTCGAAAATGGGCGATCGAGTCAAAGACCAAGTCAAGACTTCTAACTGCAGTGCAGAACCACTCGGCACTCAAACCCGAGGATTTTTATTCTTTCTCAGCTTTCTCAACATTAGGGCAACAATCAATACGAAACTAACGATTTTAAATTGGCTCACCACTTTAGTAGCCTATTGGTCCCAAGCAAACGATTAACGTACCCTATTCTAGTTGAAATTCTATTACTACACTATGTTTGTTTTGATTCGCTATGAAAGTTTGACAGATAACATCAGGGGTGTGTGGATTCATGCAGAACATGCAGGGGTGAGTGAAATAGCTTGGGACTGCTTGGGACCGTTGTTCTGGTACTGAGTGAGCCAAAAATAATAATGATTTTCTTCGGGACCCAGTGGTCTTAGAGTTACCTCTATGATTAGGGCTAGTGAATTTTCACTTGAAATTGACAGATTTAGGCTCTGACCCATTTGGTGGATTATTTTAACTTTTGGTTAAAATTTGACAGATGGAAAGTTATCGATTAAGGCTCTGAACCATTTGGTGGATTATTTTAACTTTTGGTTAAAATTTGACAGATGAAAAGTTATCGATTAACCCTGCTATCCGAGCGTGGTTACTTCTGACAGACAAGAAGTTAAATTTTGACGACCGTGGCTCGAAAACCGGTCGATCGACAGCACGGGGATTTTCGAACATTAGAAATAACTTTCGAAATGTCACTTTTAATCCCGTGTTAAATTTAACTCGGCAAATGGTTCACAGCCTAACCCTGCTATCAGAGCGTGGTTGCTTCTGACAGACAAGAAGTTAAATTTTGACAACTCCGGAGTGATTTGAGATTTGGGCGTAATTGCTTTTGTAAACAAACATGTCAATCACGAATTTCTCACGAATTAAAGCTCAATCTCGTAAACAAACTATACCAAATGATAGAGAAATCATTCCTCTACGTGATAGTGTTATTAGTTTTCGAGATTGAGCTTTTATTCACGATAAATCTGCGATTGACGTGTTTGTTTACAAATGCAATTACGGAACTGTGACAGCACAGGGATTTTCGAACATAGAAAATAACTTTCGAAATGTCATTTTTAACCATAACTTAAATTTAACTCGGCAAATGGTTCACAGCCCTAAAATCTTAAAATAAACCTGCTATTGTACAGTGAGATTTACGAACATTTTAATTTATTTTCGAAGTGTCAAATTTAAGTAAAAATGCAGCAACCTTAGGTCTGTTCCCGTAATTGGCGTCTTGCAGTGAAACTTTTTCAAGCTTCCGCCACCTACATTTCGAAGTGAGAACTTCTAGAAGGAGGATAGTTTCCAAATTCTCCAAGTAAAACAGACGATTTTTGGGGCAAATCGGTACATAAAGAAAAACTAATAGTTTCCGGTGGAAACTTTTGCTTAAATCGTGTAAGAAAACGTGTTTGCAAACTAACTGTTATTATTTCGGTATAGATTGGAGATGTTTTCATGGTAAATTATGCATAACAAGTTTGCACCCACAGGTAGAGGCGAGGGTAGAGGTTACCTCCTGCGCAGCTGCATTTTTCGGAAAATGGTGAATATGTGCGATGTCCACTAGGATGAAAGTGGAAATTAAGTGAATTTACTTAGGAAAGATTGTATCATGCTGGTGATAATGGAGAAATGGTTGTATAGGTCGCTAATATTCAATAAATGTTCATTTTGGCCTTTTTAGGCAAACATATTGATACTTACAATTTTCGACGGAAAACGCAACGGAACTTGATTTACTCAACACACACCATGCTATAAAATGGAGCTAGATGGTTTGCAATCTGATAAGAAGATGACAAATCATCTTTATTTTGAGTAATTGAGCAATTTACTTCTGTTTACATCATATGTACGATGCAGCATTGATGGAGCTGTGAAATTAAATGAATATATCTTATGAAAGTTCATCTGGAAAAGTCAAAGATGCACATCAGTCTGATCGTGAAAACATTTTCTTCTTCAATTCGAATGTTATATTGGAAGGATTTTACGCAGGCTTGATAAAAATTATGATTTAATGCTTATTTTCACGAATTTTATATGCAGTCTGTCAACATTATCATCATTATGCAGTGGCGACATCTGCGTCGAGCTTTTACGGCAATCTTCCAATGGGTTTTTTTAACTTGCTGCTTCGAGTGCAGGTTTCTGTAAGTTGCTGTCTAGGGGGATGGCACCCCGATCCTTTTGAAGAACACTTTATCTTAGCTGAATAAAAAGCTGAAAAACCCCGGGACGGGACTTGACAATCGAGCTTCTCACTCTTCTTAATGTTTTTGAAGAATGCCCTTCGGAAAGTTGTGCGTGGTGTTTGACGGAGTTGTCCAATAATGCCAGGAATGTAAAATATTTTTTCTATTTGAATAATATCGGAGTTTTTACCGCAGTTTAGCCATAGAGGTAACTCTAAAGGGCCACGCACATTAGATCCGTTTGCGCTGCGTTGACGTAAATTTGACAGCTAGACAATAGATTTAGCTGTCACTTTGCCGCAACGCGTCAGATCCGGATCTAATGTGCGTGGGTCTTAAGACTAGTAGCATAGAGGTAACTCTAAGACCACTGGGTCCCGAAGAAAATCATTATTATTTTTGGCTCACTCAGTACCAGAACAACGGTCCCAAGCAGTCCCAAGCTATTTCACTCACCCCTGCATGTTCTGCATGAATCCACACACCCCTGATGTTATCTGTCAAACTTTCATAGCGAATCAAAACAAACATAGTGTAGTAATAGAATTTCAACTAGAATAGGGTACGTTAATCGTTTGCTTGGGACCAATAGGCTACTAAAGTGGTGAGCCAATTTAAAATCGTTAGTTTCGTATTGATTGTTGCTAGTAGGTCCCGAAGAAACGTGCTCAACTTTTTGGCTCAGCTCTGGTACTATCTTCGGTCCCAAGCTAATCGATGCGCCCCTCGAAACAACGGAAAATCCACGAACCCCTCATTTTATCTGCCAAACTTTCATAGCGAATCAAAACAAACATAGTGTAGTAGTAGAATTTTGACTAGAATGGGGTGCGTTAATTGATTTTCTTGGGGCCAATAGGCTAGTCAAGCAGTGAGCCAATTTTAAATCATTAGTTTCCACCGATTGGAACACCCACGTAAACCAACAACATTATCGGGTGGAGGAAATTTTCCCCTTTCCGATAGTTGTATTGGTTTGTCTTGATGGTTAGAAAGAACCGGAACAGCAAAGTTTAAAAGTAGAATGGATTTTATTTAACGACTAGCTTGAGTGGAGTCTTGAACAGGAATGAAAAGTTTTTCACCGTTGTTTATTTAAGAAAACTTAGGTTGCTAGGGGTGACGTTCGGTCTCCAAGGAGGTGATCAGCACACTGCGTTACCGATTTACTCCAACACCCCCCCCTGAATCGGTCAGTCCTAGGAGGGTCCTCAGTTCGCGGAAACGTCCAGGTTCCAGGGGCTTGGTGAACGTGTCCGCTATTTGGTTTGCTGTATCAATTGCTTCGATTTGAAGTCTTCCTTGTGCCACATGGTCGCGCAAAAAATGGTGCTTTACATCGATGTGCTTGACACGCTTGCTTTCGGTGTTTGTGGCCATTGCAATGCACCCACGGTTGTCTTCGTACACCTTGAATGCCGTGTCCGGTCGAACTTGCTTCAGGTCTTCAAGGATTCCGTGCAGCCACAGCCCTTCGGAGGCCGCGGCACTTAAAGCTGCATACTCGGCTTCACACGACGACAGTGCAACGGTTTGTTGCTTGCGGCTTGCCCAAGACACGGTGTTCCCAAAGACCTTAAAGACGAAGCCACTTACGGATTTCCTATCCTCAGCATCCGATGCCCAGTCAGCGTCTGCGTACCCGACAAGTGCCTCGGCGTCGTCGTTTTGCTTGTACTGGAGCTTCAAGTTCTTCGTTCCCTTCACGTAACGGACCACTCTCTTCAGGGCTTGCCAGTGGGCCTCATCAGGTTGAACTTGGAAGCGCCCTAGGTATCCAACAGCGTAGCATATGTCCGGTCGAACACACAGCATCGTATACATCAGGCTGCCCAGCAATTGACGGTATGGATGCGACACAGGATTCGCAGCTTGTGGTGGCAGGAAACAGCCTTTCGCCATTGGGGTTTTGACATGGTTACAGTCTTGCATGCCGAACTTCGTCAGCACACGGTCCACAGCAGCTTCTTGCGCCAGGTACATGCATCCGGTGGCGCGGTCGTATCGGATCTTCATTCCAAGGAAATGATTAACCACGCCGCAATCCGTCATCTGGAGCTTCTTGGAAAGAGCACGCTTGATCTCCTTCACCAGGTCCAGTCGATCGCCAGCAATGAGCAAATCGTCCACGTAGATGATTATGTATATCCCCCTTCGATCGTCGATCCTGGTATATAGACAGTAATCATGCCGGGAACGGGTAAAGCCGAAATCCAGTAGAAGGTCGTTTAGCTTGTTGTTCCAACAGCGGGGGCTTTGCTTGAGTCCGTACAGCGATCGATCCAGCTTGCAAACGAAGTTCGGCGGTGCTGCAACTCCTTCGGGTATGGCCATGTAGACGTCTTCTTCAAGCTCACCGTAGAGGAATGCGGTCTTCACATCGAGTTGGTGAACGTGCATCCTTCGGTGGGTTGCTACAGCAAGAACGGTTCGTATCGTGGCTAACTTTGCTACGGGGGAATATGTTTCGTTGTAGTCGACTCCGGGCTTCTGTTGGAATCCCTTCGCCACCAAGCGCACCTTGTAACGGATCGGTTCGCCATGCTCGTCCGGCTTGATTCGGAAGACCCATTT